CAATATATACATGGTCACATTTCCTTAAATCTCCATCTCCATCTCCATCTCCATCTCCAGACAAATTAAAAAAATAAAAATAAGAATTAAATAAGCACTGACTTACTGCTACTTCTAACAGCAGCCAATGGAGTAGTAGAAGCCAGGGCAGCCCTGGAAGCCGCCGCGTTGAAGGCCAGCCTGCTGCTCTCCTCCTCCAGCCCATTATGGGCCCAACCCGATGGGCTTTCAACCTTGACCCGGAACGCGATGAGGGCCTCCATCTGCCTATTGAGCCCGTGGGCCTCCTGGACCACCTCCTCCGCCTTGGCCCGGTAGAAGCCCACCGCCTTGTTGAATTCGGAGTCCAGATTTTTGAAGAAGACGAGCTCCTGCTCGCCGCCCTCGTCCGCCGCCATCAGGAACATGGTCTCCGACCGCTCGTTAACGTTGTTCACTACGATCACTTGGCTTTCTACATCGGCTGTTGGGCCATTGTTGTTGTTGTTGGGCCGTTGGGTTAGGCCGCTGAAGGCCCGGTAGAGGGTGAGGCTGCGCTTTGGGCCGGGCTGGGCCTGGGCCCGCTGACGGGACATTTTGATTTCTTTGAGGAGGTTTTTGAGGAGGCGGTAGTCCATGTAGGCCTGCTGCCATTCGGGCACCATTTGTGCTTCGAATTCTTTCCCAAATTTCATGTCTTTTTTTTTTCTTCTAAAGATTGATNCTGTCATGAATTGACCAATCTTAGGTGGTGATTAGTTCAATTGTAATGAGATTTACCATTTCTAGTCAGAAAGAATGATAACAGATTAACATTTTTTTTATTTATTTTTTTTTTTCTGGAAAGGAAATAGTGACGTTAATCCAAGTATTGATAGCGATGGACCTTTTCGACTTTGTTCAAATCAACTGTATTAACGTGTTATAATAATATAAGTGTCCCTATATGGTACTACAAAAATAATTAGTGGATCTACCTTTCAAATTACTAGTACAGAATTCGTGTGTCATGTACATGGTGCACAATTTTAAGGCTATTTATCCAAACTTATAATTATATACATGAATAAAGAAAAATGTACGGGATATATATAGTACGTGACCCGCACGGGATATATTTATTTGGAGAATATTATATTATAAGATGCAATATTCAATAAAAGTTTATAATACGCAAGAAAATTGTACAATGTTCAATAAAAGTTTTATAATATTCAAGTGGAGTCATAAAGTCTCTTATACATTAAGACTACTGACAAAATAATATTTTAATCAATGAGTTTCTTTTCCTTGTAGCCAAATTGTGAATGTGATTTGAGGAGTACAACAAATCGATATATAGCTGACTTGCTTTTTTCATTGTAGTCTTTTTTTCTTTTTTTTTTATGATGAATTTAAAGATATTCTAAAATATAGCAAAAATTAATTTTTTTTATTATAATTAGGAATTTTTCTAAATATAGACTCTCAATCTATGGTGTTAATCAACGTTTAAGTCTAAAAAATTAGGAATTTTTACCTCTTTTAATCCACGTTTAAGTCTAAAAAACAATAGAATTATTATAAGTTTTTTTTCTACATCTTTTAAAACATTAAATATGAGCATATTAGGGCTAGCTTGTAAAATAATTAATATATTATTTCACTAAAATATTTATACTAATAAAAATTTAATTTTAGCATATAAATTTATCCCTTGATATAAGAGAAAGTAACAGTTTTACTTATTGTTGTTCACCATATAATATTTAATTATTATTTTATTATATAATAAAAAAGGAATATTGTTAAATAGTGTAGTAGAATTGTTATAAAATTATATGATTTTTTTTTTACAATATGGATTTAATATTTTTTTTATGATTTGATAATATAAACAAATCTATACTTAACTTTGACAAATAAAACAAATAAATACTTTAGTAACTATTTAATGTATATACTAAAATCAAATACCAAATATAATCAAATAAGTCAAAATGTACATTTTTATTTGGTATTTGATTATTTTTTTTTAAAAATCTTTTTATTATACTTACCTTTTTAAAATAAAATAAATAAATAAATCAATTAAATAAATAAAATATTATAATACCAAAATAGTAATGGCATTTAATGCAGTTGACTTTTCTGGATAGTAAATGTAGTAAATAGAATCTCCTTTTATATAAGTATAGATATGATATTATATTATGTTGCTCAAAATAATAATGCATTTATTGCATTGATTTTTCAACTTACTATATTTCGTAAATGGTACACCTTATTATATAAGTATAGATATAAGTGTCCCTATATGGTATTACAAAAATAATAAATCAATTACATTATATAGCCGCGGAATTTGCATAATTACCAAAATGGTGTTTACCTAGTGTTTTAAAAATCGGGTTCGACGTTACTCGGACGTCTCGAATGTCGTCTAGGCGGCTCTTCTAAGCGCTCGGGCAATTAGATGCATAGGTGGTCCAAACAATTGCACGGTTAGCCAGACCTAAACCGACTAAGAGGATTAGACGGCGACTTAGGCGGTCAAGAGAATGCTTAGGTGCCCGTATATTTTATAAAATATTTATTATAAATTATACATGATAAAAGTTATATAAATAAGCTTAATAATATTTTTATGATCCCCTAGGGCTAGACTTCCACCTAGCACATTTTAGAACCTTGATTTTAACACTATACATTTTATGTTAATTTCTTGTCATATCAGTTGATGGGCAAACTGAACTTGTCGAGTAAACAACGTTTTGGAGGTAAGTTAGAGAGGTTTGAGTCGAATTAGAACTTTGACAAGGCAAATACTTTAGTTGTTTGGTAAGTGTCGGTTTGAAATAGCTTTTTAGATCCAAATATCAATTTTTGGAAAACTCAATATATCAACTGTTTAAAACAGATGGTAGGGTGAGAATGGTCGGTACGGCTCGGAGGTTAATCCCTAGAATCATACCGAAATTCGGAGATCCCTAAAGTTCAATCTCCGAAATCATACCAAAAATTGGTTCGGTTCGGTTTAAAGATTTTTATTTTTGAATGCGGTTCGGTTCAGTATCCGAGAATATCGGAACGATTCCGTTCAATTCAAAACTCTGGAGATTTTAAATTTTGTCAAATTTTTTCGAATGACTATCCAGTTATATTTATATCTTCGTATATATTTTTTTTAATCCAACCTTCATCAATACTTCACCATATTAAATATTATATCAAATCAAATTTAGAAAATATGGACGTAACTAAACATTTTATTTAAAACTAAATATGTGCAACTAATTATTAGATCGAATAAGACTAAGAAAAGAATAAAAAAGTGAAATATAAATACATTTTTCAATTAATTGTAGATAAAGTATTATGAACCATAAAATTTCAGTGAAGTTTAGTTGATATTACTATATGTTACTAATATTTTAAAAATTCTCAAATTATATAGGATTAAAGTTGATATAAAATCTATGAACAAGACACATCTAATATTATAGTTCGGTTCTTGATTTCAATTCTCCGGTTTGGTACGGTTCGGTTCTTGTTACGTCTATTTGTGAAATCTCTAGAATCATGCTAATTATTTTTTAAGTTCGGTTCGGCTCAGATAAAGTCAATATTAAGAGTGAATTTAGTTCGGTTTTTTATACAATTTGGAATTCTCGAGTCCCATACTCGATTCTAATTGTAATAGTTGTTTTACATATCAAACAACTAATTCTTTACCAAACACTTTGTATAAACTGTTAGTTCAATATGTTATTCGTCCTCCCAGTCTATTCAGCTTTTGGTTGTATTATTCAGCTAGGGGTTGTATTTTTGCACATTTGTACATTTTTATTTATAAAATACTCTATCGTTTTGGAAAAAAAAAAGAGTTATTCATTATAAACTAATTCAATCAGTTATTAATTATCTGCTATCAGCTGAGTGCCAAACAAGACCGATAGCTCATGTCTAACATGGACAAAGAGTGGGACGTGTTAATCAAATTACAAAAATAAAAATAAAAAATATTTTTATTGTTCAATTTTAAATCTCAACTTAAGACATTGAAAATGTTTTATTTTTTCAAAGGACAAATATTAAGAAGGAAGAAACACTTTTACTCATTCTAGTTTTCCAAATAAATGTAAGCTACTTTGGATAGTGGGATTTGAATTTGTGTTTAAATAATATTCAAAATGTAATGATTAAAATTAATGTGATGTAAAATTACAAAAGGTATGACTGAAAATGTAATGATTAAAAATGACGAGTAGTTAAAAATATGTGAGTGGATTAACAATGAATTTAGTTAATGTGATATGTGTGGATGATTGGTTGATATTATTTATTATATTGATAAAAAAAAGAGAGTTGAGTAAAATTATTTACCCAACCAATCAAAACTAGATAAAATATATTTTTAATTGAGTCAAAAAAAGTCCCGAGCTATTCACTTAAAAATTTAAAAAGTTTAAAAAGGTTATGAAACATTCAATTATTTATTACTTGAATTTGTTTGGATTTTATTAGACTTGCCGAGATTTCAAAACAAAAATTATATACGAAAAATCTCACCTCCAAACATAAGATATTTAGGAATTTTTCCTAAACTTAAGAATCTTAAAAATATTAGATTTCAAAATGTCTTGATGTAACTCAAGATATCTGCTTGGAAAATATCAAAGGTTTACTGGGCAGAAAGTTAACTTGGAAAAATCTACTATCTTCTTCAATAGAAATACTTCCTCTTCTACCCCGTCCCAGATTTGCAATCTGTTACTTGGTATGTCTGTACATAAATCTTCCAGATATCTCGGTATGCCCTTAGGCATTGGAAAATCCAAAAAGGAGGTCTTTGAATCTGTTCTAGTGGCTGTGAGAAGAAAGTTAGAAAGCTGGAAGAACTCTTTCCTATCCACAACAGGAAAAGAGGTACTTATCAAATCTGTTCTCAATGCTATCCCTGTTTTTATCATGTCAGTGTTTTGTCTGCCTAAAGGAATATGCAAGGCATTTTCCAAGTTATGTGCCATTTTCTGGTGGAGTTTTGGAGATGTGCACAAAAAAGGCATTCACTAGAAGTCTTGGAACTGGGTTGCTACTCCTAAAGCTTAGGGTGGACTGGGCTTTTCAAGATGTGCAGTTGTTCAGTGATGCCCTAATTCTCAAGGAGATAAGGAGATTACTTACAAGTCCCAACCTTTTAGTCACAAAGATTCTGAAGGAGAGGTATTTCCCCAGTGGATCAGTCCTTGAAGCTTAGAAAACTTAAAGCTCTTCTTGGGTGTGATTGCTGGCTGACAGTGAAAAACTCCTATCAACATTTTCTTAAAAGAGAAGTCAAGGATGGAATCAATACCAGAATTTACAAAAACCCTTGGTTACAGGGAACAAAGACTGACATCCCCAGTTTCAAGGCTAACTGTAATCATCAATTAACAATGGTCTCTGAGCTGATGGAGGAGGGACACAAACATTGGAATGGAGCTATTAAAGAAGTCTTTGATGAAGCAGTGGTTGAGCAGATCCTGAAAATGAGGAACCTTGATCCTTTCCAAAAAGACAAATGGGTGTGGAGTGTAGATACAAAAGGAAAATTTTCTGTCAACTCAGCTTATTCTTTGTTTGTGCGGAACAAGGTTTTGATTTTGGATAGAACAGAAGGTAGTGTCTCGGGAGTTAAAGAGAAAGTTGCCAGGTGTTGGAATTTAAACATTAAAGAGACACTGAAACATTTTGTGTGGAGCAGTTTTCTGGTACTCTACATGTAGCTAATATTCTCAGGAAAAGAGGAATGGATGTGGATTGGGGTAGAAGCTTTGGGAGAAAGAATAGAGTATTGAGCATGTTCTTTTTCATTGTAGTAGAGTTGTCATAGTGTGAAAAAATTCTTCTCTTGAGTGGGAGTTTTGCAAGCAGTAAACAGGTACATTCAAAGACTGGTGGTGGCAAGTTATTGAACTTAACAAATCTGAGATTTCTGAGGCTCGTATCCAGCTTTCCACTTATATTCTTTGGTGGTTGTGGAAGGCCCAAAATTTATGGGTGCTTCGAGAGGAGTGGCTTCCTAAAAGGGTGATAGTGAAGAATGCTAGGCGTGAATGGAGTGAATTCCTTTCGAGTAGAACAAAGTAAAATGGTGCAAGGAGAATTAGAAGATTAGGTCCTTATGTTCAGTTTTCTTCTTTTTCTCCTTGTTTGTGTTTTTTCTTGCTGATATTGGTCTGAGTTGTAATAGGCTATAGGCGAACATTTGTCCTCGCCTATAGTCCTTAGTGTTATTGATTTTGGTGTGTTTTCCAGTACACCTCAAATTCACAAACAAATACATCCTCATAATATTCAAACATTTTTCCCTTTTTCATTCCAAATTACATGTATCTAATCCCCACATGGTATTACAAACACCAATATTATGTATTCGATCAGATTTTTCTAACTTCAAGAATATGAATTATCTATGTACAGCTTTTCATTGCAAGAGCCATCATATATGAGCGTCTCAGTCCGGAAATTAGCTGCAACTTTTCAAAATTCGACTGAAGTCAGATATATTTGTAAGTAATTAACCAAACATTTTATGCTTTTTTGTGCTTGTCATTTTCCTGTCCAGCCAATTCTTAACATAATGGAACACGGTATTAATACCAGCATAGATTTATCTAATATTTCAAGGAAAAAAAAAATAATGAAAGAGAGAGCGTGGATTGTTCCAAACTGCATACAGCTTTTTCGTGTGAAATATTTCATTTTCATTGACCCAAAAAATTTTCTCAGGTCTCCATATTAATCACTCGAGACTATATTGTTTAATTCGAACTAATTAAGATTGAAAGATGATTTTATCGTTTTCAAGACACATTGATTCATTCTTGATTTTTTTTTTTTCGGTACAAATTCATTCTTGATTTAACCATCTTAATGTTGAAAATTAGTTTTAGCTTATGTCAACATATCAACAATAATAATATTTCATAACCGAAGAAAAGTAGTTTCATTCAAACAAAATATGGTCAACCCGGCTTTACAATCCAAAAAAGACAAACTCTATTAGCTTAATATAAATAAAACAATATATAANTTCATCTAATATAACTTGAATTTACTCAATATTATCAATATAATTAATTAATATCAATCAATCATTACTACATATTTTTCAATAAAAGGCACTATTTATCCACTCATATTCTTAATTATTAATTATTTACAATAATTACTTTACTATTTTTATACAACAATAATTTTAATCATTATATTTGAATTGATATTTACTCATAAATTTAAATATCAATTCAATAAATTTTTTCAAAATTTAATTTACTTTATTTAATAAATTAAACAAAATCCAAAAAATGCTCATTTCAAATCTCCATCTAAAAGAACTGCGTCTTTTTCAAAAGCCAAAAAGGTCCAAGACGTTTCTTTATTGATTTGGTAAATCTTGACTAGGATATTTGTCGTAACTATCCGTACAATAATTAACAATATATTATGGACTACTGTCACGATTTGTATATAATTTTGAAAAAACATGCACGCAATTGTAAAAAATAAAATGTTTTTTCCCTTAGGAATCGTGTCTGAGTATGCGTGTACAAGAGTAGAACCGTGTAAAGTTCGACCAAAATCGAAAGAACCGATCAAAATAAAATTTACGGTTTGATTTTTATGTCAGTTCAGTTATCAATTTTTACTTTTACATTTCGGTTATTTAGGTTCAGTTTCAGTTTTTAGTTTTAAAATAACTGAAATAACCGAATTGGACGAACTATATAAAAAAGATTATTTTTTATACTTATATATAATTTTTATTTTTAGGAAAAATAATATAAAATGCAATCTTGCGTTTTAAAATCTACAGAGGTGTATTGGTATTTATGGAGATGAGTATATTATATTAATGGAGAAGGATTGAGGAATATTTGGGAATTTTGAAAAATGATCTTTGGCAAGAGAAGATGATCTGAATCGATTGATTGGAGTTTTTATTATATATAATAAGACCGACACATTTCACTCTCTTAAGGGATACCTATTGTGTACAAGTATAAGACAATACCTGAGAGTAGAACAACCCGTTTAAGTTTAGCCTCATTACCAACAACTTCTTAGTGTAACCCAAATAGTAAAACAACACAAATAACTTTTCAACTTTTGATAGTTTCCCTTAGTGAAATTTTTTCTCTCTCTAGAGTCCCGTTTCCGTGAGATTTGGGGATTTAGGATTTTGGTTTGCTCCTTCTCTCTCATGTGACTCTTGACCTCTTCTTCTTTGTTTATGTTCTTTGCCTCTTTCGTCGTCTTCTAGGTTGTGTTGAGTTTGCTTTTTCTTGTTTGGTGGTGAATTATTGAATGAATAAAAGATGATTTGATATCTAGATGTTCTTGAGATTGTAATCTCATTAATATCGTCACACTCGTACGTTTCCCTACATCAATATGGGTGCAGATACACAACCTCCATTTGCATTGGGTGGCAGCAGAAATTGGGATGACAGTTAGAAAACTGATAGGTAAGGTCCTAGATGTCCATGTGTCAACATCAAGAAACTAAAATGGGCAAAATAATAAAATGTTTGCTGGAACTAAGACTGGCTGACCCAATCCTTAGAGGAGCCAACATCAAACTACATATTGAGAGTAAGTGGGTGGATTTCAGGTATGAACATCTCCAAACCTTTTGTTATTACTGTAGTAAAATTGGACATAGCGACAGAAACTGTGAGTCCAAAAATGAAGATATCGGTAGAGGTGTGATAACCATGGGCAATATGGTTATTGGCTAAAATCCTCAATAAGTAGTCACTCTGAATCTAGAAGTGGATATTCTTCACAAGGTAATAGTCAAAATCAAAAGAAAGAATGGCTAAAATATGGTAGCAAAGAAGGTGGCAGTAGTGAGGTGGGGGTGGGAGCTAGTAACCAGGTAGAGATTGTTAAAGCCTTACAAGAGGGACACAAATCTTTAAGTTCTAAAATGAGTGAGGTTAAGGTCATACAGTTAAATGAGGCAAAACCATTTCTGGTTAGAGAGGGGGCTATGCTTCTAAACCAACAAGTAGTGGACCCTTTACATTCATCTAAACTTATGGATTTAACTATCCAACCCTCTTCTATAGGGAGTAGAATCCTCCGAAGGAGGAATTCTACCTTTCAGAGGAAGGTCAGAGTGAACTCTAGTGATTCTAGGGGTAAAGTGTGCTGACTCATGGTGTAAATCGATATTTTTGATCTTTGATTGATGATTTTTTGAGAAGGTTTGGGTGTTGAAAAATAAAACTGAGGTGTTTGAAAAGTTCAAAAACTGGAACATCACAGGTTCAACACTGTCAAAATCCGGTTCACTCATCCCAATATCAACGATCCCACCGACCATTAAATCGGTTACCTACATAGGTAGCCTAGCATCTGTCGTGTTGCATGAAGCAGACACCCTAGATGTGCGTCATGCGTCCAATGACTCAACAATAAGTCATGATGAATTTATATTTTTTATCGTGTATAAGTAGCGAATAGCTTGTACATCAAAAAGACATGAGAAAATAACACAAAGAAGAACCTAAGAAGGAAAGCATGGAAAACAAGTTCAAACTCCTTCAAAGCCATAAGAACGACAAAAAAAAGTGTCAACGGCAGCACATAATTCGTCGACTATTTTTTCTTTATTCTAAATGTCATCTTCTTTTTATTCATAAATTTGGAATCATGTTTGTTGTAATCTTGTTGGTGAAATCGACCATCAACAGGACGCAAGCAACTCTTTCAATGCATTGTAACCCGATTGAACACAAATATTAAAGACATGACACATACACCGAATATAAAAAAAAATTCCACCTCAAAGAGGATGAAAAAATTTTCTAAGCTCAGGCAAAGAAATAGTATTAGCACAAGTGCTATCAAAATAAATGGATTTTTTTAACCAATTTTATAATTATTCAACACACGTGCAATTAAGCGAACGATAATAGTAGTAGTGTGAGAGTTATTAAATCTCGCGTAAGCAATTAAATGTTTTTGTAATGAAAAATTTCACCTACTCAATGAAAAGTATTTCTCATATAATGATTGTATTGTCAATGATTAGACAAAATATCACAATATTTGCGTCAAAATTAATTTTATCTCACCCACTATATTTCGAATATCGCGAGTGAGTAATACGTGGAACCCGAGATGCAACCAGGTTTAAAGCCATTTGAGCAAAATTTTCATACAAGTCAGACGCACAAAAATCGAAAGGAAATGATGAAGCATAAACAAATTCAGCTTGATGACTATTATCGTTTACCTCAGAGTATTGAATAAAAAAGAAGAAGGAACATCTGTTGACAGTTCTAGCCTAGATGCAGTGCTACTTCTCGAGAATTGAGTTTGGCTTGAGGCAACCCCCATTTCGGCCGGAGATAGGTCCATACGTATCGTTGCATGGTTTCATACTCATTACAAGTTTTGAAAGCGTACCTCTTCTTGGCGACGGGGAGACAATGGTTCCCAATACATATAAAATGTTTATCACTTTTTTTTTTTTTTTTNATGAAAAAAAAAATAAGAGTATTGACGAAATGTTGTAGAAAAGAAGATGATGAATTCGGTGTAAAAATAAAATGGAGGGGGCAGGTATTTATTAAAAAGAAAAATTATTGTATTCTATTTTTAAAATTCAAGAACCTGCATTTCAGACGATTGAAGGCCATCTAATTTAAAAATCTGGCTGTTGGATCTTAGCGGTTTCAGTCCGAACCGGCCCAGCCCGAAACCGGCTAAAAGAAATCCTGACCGTTGGATCTCAACTGAGAAATTAGTCCAACGATCAAATTTTAACGGTTTCGATTCGTCCCGACCACGCTTGGAACTGACAAAAAAATCATTTTTATTTATTTATTTTTTTGTACAAAGAGGAGGCCGTAGGCCTAGGTGCTAGACGAGGATTCGGCGGGGATAAGAGACCCCGATGATATCATGTTGAAGCCATTCATTCATCTAAACTAGAAGGGGGGCGTAGACAACGCATGGAGACCAATCAGATACGAAGACGCTAGGCTCGCCAAATGGGCGGCCGCAAAATTTGCCTCTCCATGCACGTGTCGAATGTTAATAGTCCATTCCCGCTCATTTGACGAATGGCCTTGACTAATGCGTCGTGCGCCCCAAAATTACTTACGGGACCCGATTATCATCTGTAGCACACATTGGCTATCAATTTCCACAACAACTTTACGAAACCCTTTATCCCATGCAATTTGCAACCCCTGAAAAAAACCCCACAATTCTGCTCCAGTAATGGTACAATAGCCTATATGCATGAGAAACTCCATAGTCCATCTACCCAACTCATCGCGAAGAAGCCCACTCGCACTACTGACCCATAAGTCTTGTCAAAAGCACCATCAGTATTAACTTTAATCCATCCGTGGTCCGGCGGTGACCAATAAATTAAACACGTCTCGAAACGATTCATTTCAGCCCCTATCTTAGCGAATGTCTGTGAAGAGTGAGTATAGGTCTTCAATCGATTCATCACCTCCACACGCTTCGCCTCGCAACCCACGTTAAAATGCACCAGTTCGAATTTATTTAAATTTATGAACCACCAAAATGGGTCAACTCAATTCTTGTAATCAATAATTTAATCGGTTCGATGATTGAGGCCAACTTGTGGGCACCTCTAGCCGCTGCCCGTGCCACACCCATATAGCCTACGGCCCTACAGGCATCCGAATGCCCCACGCTAGGAAAAAAATGTTATGGATAAGCCCAAAAAATATAGATTTATTATTATCTTTAAACACCGCTGCTTCGTTTCGACGCAAACATCTCAATCGAATCTCCACCGTACACGTGCTTCGCCAGCCAAACCTACGGCCCAAATTCATTCCCGGCATGTGACCCCACCCCGCTTCAATGAAAATGATAAAAGATGAATCGAGCCCTAATATATAAGCTATCGCGCACCTCATTCAGCTCGCCCCCTCCTTTGGCTCCTCTCTCTCTCATCGAAAAAGAAGATAAACAAATCCGTCCGTTTAATCGCCGCCGAGCATGTCGGACGAGGAGCATCACTTCGAGTCGAAGGCCGACGCTGGCGCATCGAAGACTTACCCTCAACAGGCTGGGACCATTCGTAAGAACGGTTACATTGTTATCAAAGGCCGTCCCTGCAAGGTCTGTTGCGTCCTTAATTTTATTTATTTTGTGAATGAACTGTTTGAAAATCGGCCCGTTCGTTATTTATTTTAATTTTTCTCGGTGGAATTGTGAGTATAGTGCCTGTAGAGTTTGATTTCAGTTTCATTTATTTCCGCGTGTTAATTGGCGTTGCTGTTTCTTGCGTGATGATTTGAGTGATTTTCGACTTGGTTCAGATCGTGTGTGGATATGAATTTAGGTTGACGGTGCCTGGTTTGGTTTTGTTGATGCTGTTTTTGGTGGATTTGATTTGAATCTCAGGAGGACAAATGGTTGTTTCCGATTAGACTTTTAGTCTTTCAAGGGTTTATTATTTAAATGCTTTAGTCTTGTGATTTTTTGGTGTGTGTGGAATAGATGCAGCTTCTTGTTCATATATTTCACAATTGAGTTGGGTGTGGTTTGATTTAGTATATACTCTCTATACATGTACTTCACCTCAAATACAGATTGTGGTTAGAACCTATTTCTTACATTTCTGTTTACAAATCATTTATGTATTAGCTTTCACTGTCTGATTGACTGCAGATTGTTAATGTCTACAGTTTTGTCAATTTCATCGTTAGGGGATTCAAAGATTTCTTTCTCCTTGTTTTAGGTTGTTGAAGTTTCGACTTCCAAAACTGGAAAGCACGGGCATGCTAAGTGTCACTTTGTGGCGATAGACATCTTCACAGCCAAGAAGCTTGAAGATATTGTTCCCTCTTCCCATAACTGTGATGTACATCTATTCTGCCCTTTACCTTTTTATGTATCAAGGTTACTGATGTTTATATTTGATACTATTGGAACAAAATCCTAAAGTATGATTACTGAAATTCAGGTTCCACATGTCAATCGCACTGATTACCAGCTCATCGACATTTCCGAGGATGGATTTGTATGTGGCTCTACTTTACTTATATTGTTTGAAATTTCATTGGGCCCATTTTCAGTAATGTTTACATATATAATTTCTATAGGTGAGTTTGCTGACTGAGAATGGCAACACTAAGGATGATCTCAGGCTTCCAACTGATGACAATCTGCTTTCCCAGGTTAGACATACTTCAACCTGTAGTTGGCAAACATTTATTAACTTCTTTAAGATCTTGTTTTAAAAATATTTTAGGCTATATTTAGTAACATTAGATGATAAGTTACCTGATAGCTTATAAGTGAACTTCGAGCTTATAAAGGATAGTTTATGGCTTATGGTTGAAAAGTTAGCTTATGATAAAAGTGCTTGGTTCAACAGGCTTATTTGAAAAGTTACCCAAAGAAAGTTTATGAGATAAGCTCGAGCTTTTTAAATAAACTCGTCCTACTAAATCAAGCTTATTTATATACAGAAAGTTATAAGCTAACCAAATGCGCTATAAGCTAACCAAATGCGCTATAAGCTATCTCATGCGGTTATCAACAAAAAGATTTTATTTTGAGATAAAAAAAGCGTGATTTAGTAAATGACACTCTTGTAAATCTACATAAGTGCATAACATTGTTGATGAGTGCTGACAAACATCCTTCGTTCAATGAAATGTACAGATTAAGGATGGATTTGCGGAGGGAAAAGACCTCGTTGTGAGTGTTATGTCGGCTATGGGAGAGGAACAGATCTGTGGTCTCAAAGACATTGGTCCTAAATCCTAAATCATGTGTTTTTTTCTTTTTTCTTTGCTTGCCAGGAGTGTTATCCCCATGATTTTTAAGTTCTGTTTGTACCAGACATGATATTTATATATTGGTGAATGACGGGAGGGACCTTTGACCATCCATATATATTTCAGTCTCTGGAGACTAAAATATTGATGGTTATAACAAACACCCTCGACAAATGGAAAGACAAATGTCCTTTATGTGGATCAATGTTGTGTTTTTATTTTATTTTGTTATGTTATTATACTTTTTTTTGTTTTCCTTTCGATGGGGAATGTCTAATGTAAGCCTGTTTTGTTATGGTATTGGGGTGAATTTGATTTGGTGTCAGTTGTCCTGGCTGGCTATATATAATATGATGAACTTTTTTACTCGTTTCTCTGAGGGAATGATGACAAAAGGTCTTCATTTAAAGAATAAAAATAAAACATTGCTCCATTTTGGCATGAAATAAATATATATAGGGTTCTATAGAACGGGTTGTATTGTCCTAAGAAAACATAACAAATTACTAATAATGTTGTGACATCCTTTAGGAAAAACGTAACAAAAGAATGGATGAAATGAGTTATTTGTTAGCTTGGTTAAACTTGAGCTTCACTCTAGCTTTTTCGGCTCGTATATAAGATATTTTATGTAAGTTTTTGTAGTTGGTTTAATTATGAATTCAACTAGTTTTTATTTAGTTTGTTTTTTAACTATAGTTAATTTTAAAAAAAAATGGCATGATTAGTTGTTAGTGTATATTAAAATAATATTTAAATAAAACAATTAAAGTTGATTTGATGTAAAGTAAGAGAAAAATGATTGATAGTGATGGTTAATTAAAATTATGTGAGTTAATGAATAATGAATTAAAAGTTGATGTGATGTGTAAGAATGATAGGTTGATATTATTTAATTATATTGATTATATTGAGGATAGTGAGGTTGAGTTAAAGTTGAGTTAAATTTGAGTTTTAAACAGAAAATATCTTTTTCCCTATGTAAGAAACGTGGGCAAATCGGGTGAGGTCCCATGTACGTGAAGCGCACCAGAGTGAGTTTTGATGCACCTTAGTGAGGTTTCATCCCAAAAAATAATTGGTGGAAAGAGGAGAGGCCCACTAGGCTTATATGTTATGCTTATTTTCCCTGTATAAACATTGTGGGACAACTCACAAGTGATATTATATTCTAATACGCCCTCTTGTGAGTCCTTTATACGAAGCCCAAGCCTACGTAGGCCAGGTGAACAGGTACGTCATCACCACGACTCACGTAGACCAGCTCTGATACCATGTAACAAACAGGGGCAAAACAGGTGCGGTTCCACGTACGTGAAGCGTACCATAACAGGGTGGGCCTTGATGCACCCTAGTGAGATTCCATCCCAAGTATTTTTAATCTGATTAGGTACTAAAACAGATTTATTTTTCATGACACGTATATTATAAATCCAAAACTTATAAACTTATTTATCAACAATCATATTACTGAAAGAAATATTTTTTTACAAGTTTTACTCTGATTTCATTTACTTTAAAACTCACTGCTTCAGGTAACTGCAATTTTTTTTTTAATTTTTTTTATTATTTTTTTGGCCTAAGAAAATAATATTCCATTAGAGATGGGTATGATCACGAGTTGAAAAAGAAAAAGAAAAAGAAAAAAATGTCTTTCAGAATCAGTTTTAGAATTCAATGGACTTTTGAGAACTACATCCGTTAATCACTGCTTGAAAGTAGACATTCCAAATCTTTTTTTCCCTCATAAATTCCTCGTGCCCTACACGTAACCACGTACAAAATTCAACTTGATCAGCTCTACTGTTGGATGCATATCTCATCATTTTTTTTAACAACACAATTATCAAGTCGCTTTCAATTAATATTTTAATCATTTTAGTTCTTAGTGTTTTTGTTTTTTTTCTTTCTCTAACAGATAATCCAATTCCAAACACAGACAGCTAACTACGTAACCAATAATAGAAACCAAATTTTAATATTATAAATGAGAGTCAATCTACTATTTATCTAAAACTGATCGAAGACGGATCATAAAAGTGAAATGTTAAAAATATTCCTTTATAACTTTGGATGTTAAAAATCCACCAAAACAATGTTAAAAATATTCCTTTATAAATTTTAATATTATAAATGAGAGTCAATCTACTATTTTTCGTCTTTTCCAGTTTTATGAAGGACGATATGAGAATAACTGAATATGTGATCGAACTGTTAGGAATATTCGGATTCGAACAAGAATCATCTTTATATTTTTATTTATTTTTTTTAAATCCATCTTCATAGTCGATGAAAGCATTTAAATAGGTGAATGGACTTGATAAGTTAGTTTGATTTGAGCTTTACTTATTGAATTTTCAAACAACAAATTATATGCTTCACACGGTGATAAATTATAAATGGATTATGGTGGAATTTACCAATATTATTGGCTCGAGGGGTAACATGAAGTACATATAAATATCTTAGCGACCATAACTATATTAAATAATACAATGTAATCTCATCAAGAAATATCATGTTCACCTCTACCACAAATAAAAATAACCACAAACATTATATATTTTTGCTAGTAATTATCTATTTTCCTAACTTCAGTTTCAACGAAGATTGCTAATGG